GCAGTGACTCAATAAATACAGTGACAAAGGAAGGCCCTAACCCAGCTGGGGAGCACCAGGAGACCTCAGGGAGCTCAAGCAGTGCTTATCCCAGGGAAGAGGTCATCCTGGGCAAGGAAGGGGGGTGGTGACATCAGTGCTGCCCAGTGCCGTATGCCAGATCCTGTGCCAGGTGCAGATCTTCCTTGACTTACCATAGGGTTCTGTTAGATAAACCCACTGTAAGTTGAAAACATCCTAGTGGCAAACATCACAGCTCAGCCTGGCTGACCTCACGTGTGTTCACGGAACCCTTCTGCTCACCTGCAGTGGGGCAAATCATCTAACACGCAGGCTATTTTATAATAAAGCATTGGTTATCTCATGCAATTTATTGAATACTGCGCTGAAAGTGGAAACTGAATGTAGATGGTTGTGTGTGCATACAGAACGGCGGGAGGTTCCAGGCCGTTTGACCCCTCATACTCCAGGGGCTGACAGGGAGCTTCAGCTGGCTGCCCAGCATCCTAGGGGTCCTAGAGGACAGCTGGCCTGGGAAAAGATCCAAATTCACAATTTGGAGTATGATTTCTACTGAAGGAGGATGGCTTTCACACCAATATAAAGTTGAAAAATCGTAAATTGAACCATCCTAAGTTGGGGACCATCTGCACTGGAAAAGTGTGGTCTTATTTGTTCTTCAAACAGCTCAGAGGCAAGGACTCTGTCTCAGTTCCTTCAGGCTGCATTCCTAAACTACCACTGATGGGTGCCGTACAAGCTACAGAAAGTTACTTCTGACCATTCTAGAGGCTGAAATTCTGAGATCAAGGTGCCGGCGTGGCCGGGGTCTGGCAAGGGCCCTCTGCTGGGTCGCGGAAATCTTGTTGTCTCTTCACAAGGACGAAGGGGTGAGAATGCTCTCTGTGGTCCCTTTTACAAGGGCGCTAATCCCGTCTGAGAGGGCTCCATCCTCTCGATCTAATGATCTCCCCAGAGCCCTTCCTCCTAATACTATCATATCAGGGGTTAGGACTTCAAAATATGAATTTTAGGGGGACACATACATTCAGTTCTATGACTGCCCAACCACCTGCATACTACAGATGTGGAAACTGAGGCTCACACGGTTACCTGCACATCCAAGGTCACACGGAAGGGGAGCAGCCCCATCAGCATTCGAACTCAGGTCTGAGTCCAGTGCTCACACTTTTCACACTGGGTCTTTCCAAGTTCTGGAGCGTGAGGAAATAAAAAAGGCAGAAAGGTGGGACACTTGGCTGGCTCAGTCTGTGGAGCACGTAATTCTTGATCTCGGGGTTGTGAGTTCGAGCCCCATGTTGGGTGTAGAGATGACTTAAAAATAAAATCTTTTAAAAAAAGAAGAAGGAGAAGAAGAAGGAGGAGGAGGAGGAGAAGGAGAAGAAGGAGAAGAAGAAGAAAGAGAAGGGCAAATGGTGAAGTGGAAATCTGCAAGATTCATGGAAAGAACCAAATGGCAAATAAGGATCGTGGGAGGCTGAGACGGCCCTCAAGCTGCCCAAGTTCTCGAACGGAGTGTTGCATCTCTCAGGGGACATGGGTGAAGAGGAACCTCCTGGCAGGAAACCAGCGGATGGAGTTGGGGACATGGGCGCAACAGTGTTTTGGAAGCATGCTGTCACCCTGCTGTGTGGGTTACATCCCAGAACATAACGTCTTGCTCCTCGCCTGCCCCCCAACACACACACACACACACACACACACACACACACACACACACACACCAACACTTGCCTTGAGCATGGATACAGTGCAGAGGCTGCTTCTGGTTCCAGAGAAACATAGATGTTCTTTTCCTTTATCCCAGCCATGCCTGGAATGCCCCTCGTTCCACCGCCTCCTTCCTTCCCTCCTCCCCACTGCCCCAAATAAAATAAAATACAGTAATTGCCGCACGCCAGAGTACCCAATATGCTCTGCGTGCAAGCTTGGTTAAACAAATCACATTGACCTTTCATAACGATGAGCCGAATGCTTCCTTCTCTCTTCCCATATGTTCCTCTTCGGGCCAAACCGCCGACCAGGGCAGGCACCATTAAGTGCGGATCTGATCTTGCTACTCCCCTGGTCTAAACCCTTCAGTGGCTCCGCATTGCCTGCGGGAGGAAGCCCCGACGCCCAGCAGTGCAGAGTAGGATGTCCCCGGTGTGGCCTGTGCCCTCCCTCCGCTGGCTTCATTTTGCACACCACTCCCCTCCCGACCCCCTGCGGCTCCCGGCACTCCCAACCCTCAGCCAGGGTGCCTCTCTCCCTCCGTCCTCAGTTCTTTCCCTGGCAGGAATGTCTACAGTGCCCTTGACAGCCACCCTGCTGCCAGCTACACACTGATGACCTCCTGTCGTTCAAAATGCAGCTCAGACCAGCTCCTCGATAAATACTCTCCCAAGTCCCCACCCCCAGGCAGAAGTGACCACCTCTCCCTGTTCCCAGCACAGATCTATGTCGCCCGTCCCTGTGGTTCCTTGCTGCACTCACTTAACAACATCGTGCTCACTCACTCGTGGCTCAGTGCTTGACACGTATTAGGGGCTTAAGAAACAGAGCTACGGGATGGCGCTTCAATGGAAACGGATTGTGTTGGCCGTGGCCTTGTAGGGAAGCATCTGCCCCCACAGGCCATAGTCCAGACCCTCAGGGCAGCCATAGTCCCGTCACCGTGTCTCTCCTGGGCTTGTCCGGAGTCCGTGGTGTTCAGATGGGAGGGTAGACACATTTCAATGCAAAGTGAAAGTCTTTTCTCCTAGGGTTAGCCTCCAGATCCAGCCGGACCACTCTGTCCGTCTCATGGTCATGCTGTGGACATAGCTCTGGAGACGTTCGCCGCCCCCCCCCCCACCGGGGTTGTCAGAGGCCAGGAGGAGCGGTTGTGGGGGGAAGCAGGCAGACAGTGGTCTTATTTACATCATTCCAAACCACTGGATCAGTTCTTAATTCTGTTGATGAGGGAAGGAGCCCTGAAATTCAAGTTCCCTTGGCAGAGATGACTCTTTTTTATCGGAGAAAATTGAGTGAGCAATTTCTGGAGGAAGTGAGGGGAAAGGAAGGAGGCTTCTGCCCAGGAAAATGGTTGAGCCTCCCTGATGCTCAGGATCTGAAGGGAGGAACAGGCCTGGCCGAGGCGTACTCATCACCACCTGATAGGAGAGGCCACATTGATTTATTTGGCTGGTTTTGTGTGTCTCACTAGAGTGAGGGTGGGCACCGCATCTACCTTGTTCACTACTCTCTCCCCAGACCCTCCCTAACCCCATGCCCAGCACCAGCTGGTGCTTATCCAACACGTGTTGAGTGAATGAGTGACTTTGGTCTGGAAGTCAGGAGAGCTGGATTCCGGTTCCTACTCTGTAGTCTCCAGCCAGCTCTGAGACATTAGGGAGGTTACTGTGCCTCTCTGATCTTGTCAATGGGGATGTTATTATCTGCGTGACCAGTCTTAGAGGTCATTGTGAGGTTCTAGCTGTATGTGAAAATCCCTTCTTGTACCCTCATACGTGCACAGTCCTAAACCTGAGAGGTTATGTCAACCACTGAAGAAGTTAGTCCTTTTCCATTGGGAGTTGGAAACATGGATGAGAGAATCCAAGAGGACTGGAGGAGACAGGCTCTTCCTTCCACCTGCCAGGCATTGGGTTCCCATGGCCTCCCAGACCGGCCATAGCGGTAGACACTCATGATCTGGAATCACTGGGATACAGAGGGCAACAGAAGCCATGGAGGTAGATAGGCTGCTCACTGAAGAGTGAGGAAGGAATAAAAAGCCTTGGACTTGTCCCTTGCTTGTCTCCACTGAGAGAAGCAGGTGGAGAATCAGGAGCCAGCAACAGAACCTGAGAAAGAATGGCCAGAAAATTAGGAATACCAGGCATGGCATTTTAGAAGCCAGGAGAAGAGAGGAAGGGTGTGCAGAGAGAAGGGGAGGGATCCTACAGAGAGGAGGAGGGTGAGAGACATTCATTGGAATTTGTGGGTGTTTGAAAACTTCAGTATGTTACAGTGTTCACAAAGGTATAACCCATGCACTGAATTTAAAAATCAGAATGAAATAAACCAAAATGCTTGTGGCCACTGCTTCAGATGACTGAGGTATTGATTATCTTCTTGTTATCTCTCTTTTCTCCATATAGTCCGATATGTACTTATGTCAGTTTCGTAATTGAAAAAGGATACTTAATAGTAAAATACATATGAATGGGACTACCTCAGATAGGCACAAAAAGGAAAAAGGCTATGTGCATGGGTGCGATAGGGAAGAGACCGACAAAAACTGAAAGTTGTTGGACTTAACTGTTGAATCTCATGATTGATTTGGCCTGATTTGCTTTTTTTTTTTTCTGAAAGTGTTTTCTTAATGTTCTTTTAATTAAGCAAAGGGAGTAAATGAGAATGGTGACCAGGCAATGTTTCAGTTGGCCCTGAAATCTTTAACTGTGTATTTCATTATGACCGTAATGCTATGGGTCTCGGTCTCAGGGACCACAAGCAAGGACTTGGGTCATTCTTGTGGCCTCGCCAATATTCAGTGCCCCATCCTGCTGGAGAAATGTTCCTCCTTGAATCCCTGATGTCAGCCTTGGCCGTGTTACCTCTTTGGCTACCAAAACGTGAGCAGAAGTGACAGGTGCCCCTTCTGGGATGGGAGAGCTAAGAGCCAACATACACTTCATCTTAGTTGTTTTCTATCATTGCTACTCATAAGGGTCTAGATGGCGGCTGCTCCCAGGGCCTGAGTCCCAGATTGTGGACAGCAGTGACAATGGAGGAAGCTCCCTCCATTTCAACTTAGGGTGAAAGTGTATGTGAGCAAGAGATAAGATTCTGTTGTTGAAAATAACTGATCGGGGGAGGGGGTGCTGCTCGTTTTTGTAGCCTATCCTGGCAGATACGGTCTTCTGAAATCTGAAAAGAAAAAGAAGCGATCAGCCATCCCAGCTTGTTCTCAAGAAACCTAACTCTTACATCTTTCTGATTTCCTTCTCTAGATGATGCATATTTACTACAGGGACTTAATATAGAGGAACTATATCCAGAGACCTCTAGTTTCATTACATATGACGGGTCGATGACTATCCCACCCTGCTATGAGACGGCAAGTTGGATAATAATGAACAAACCCGTCTATATAACCAGGATGCAGGTGAGCCCTTCTGTGGTCTTTCAGCTAATGGAAGACGGCGTCAAGCCCAGCTGGGTTTATGGAGGGCCTGTTGATGAGTTTGCTAGGACTGCTTTGACAGAGTGTAACATAAACTCCTGGCTTATATGACAGAAATGTACTGCTTCACAGCTCTGGAAGCTACAAATCCAAGATTAAGGAGTCAGCAGGGTTGGCCCCTTCTGAGGGATGTATGGAAGAATCTGCTCCCCACCTGTCCTTCTGGTGGTGGCTGGGAATCTTTGGTGTTCCTTGGCTCCTAGAAGCACTGCCCACCCTGCCTTCATCTTGACCTGGCATTCTTCCCCTGCATCTCTGCCCAAATCCCCTTTTTTATAAGGACACCTGTGTCACCCTGAATTAGAACCCACCCTAATGACCTCATCTTAAATAATTACATTAGTTATGTGATATACCCTATTTCCAAATCAGGTCAGATTCTGGGATACTAGGGAGTTAGGACTTCAATTTATGAATTCTGGAGGTCCACAATTGAAATCACCACACCTAGGTTTGAAAACCAGCATCTTGGGGCACCTGGGTAGCTCAGTGGGTTAAAATCTCTGCCTTCAGGTCAGGTCATGATCCTAGGGTCCCGGGATTGAGCCCCGCATTGGGCTGTCTGCTTGGCGGGGAGCCTGCTTCCTCCTCTCTCTCCCTGCCTACTTGTGATCTCTGTCAAATAAATAAACACAATCTTTAAATTAAAAAAAAAGAAAAGAAAAGAAAACCAGCATCTGAAATGGCTTAGCATGGATGAATTATAGAAGCATCCCACATGTCTGAATGAGAAAAGACAGCATGGTCAGCTCCCAGAGTGTGCGCTGCAGTCATTAGGTTCAAACAGCAAGTGAGCAAAATGGATGGCTTGTCCAAATATATTTGAAAAAGAGAGATTTTTAAAAAGTTAAATAGGGGCAACTGGGTGACTCAGGTAATTAAGCGTCCCACTCTTGATCTCAGCCCAGATCTCGATCTCAGTCGTTGAGTTCAAGCCTGGTACTGGGTTGGGCTCCATGCTGGGTATAGAGCCTACATAAAAAAATAAAATTTAAAAATTTAAATAGATTTCCTTACTGGGAAACTTATCAGGGTCTTTAAATTGATCATACCTGTGTCAGTCTCTAACATCAGAGGATGTTGAGCATTTCACAAACTGTCGAAATGTGAAGTATTTTTAGAACATCTGACGGGACTCGTATGCCCTTGAACTACCTGAGAACCAGGTCTGAGCACTGGGTGTGAGCCTTGCCCCCGGCTCACTGTGCACTCCCACAACCATCACCCCCCACTTATGTGAAATGAATGTGCCTCTCTTTTTATAACCAAGGGAGTTATGACACCCACTCTGGTTCCGGCATTCTACAATCGTGTATAAAACTCAAAAGGAAGAGGAGCAAAGGAATCAAAATCCAATCTCTTTTTCTTTTAAGATTTTATTTTATTTATTTGACAGAGATCACAAGTAGGCAGAGAGGCAGGCGGGGGGCGGGGCTGTGGGAACAGGTTCCCTGCTGAGCAGAGAGCCCCATGCGGGGCTCGATCCCAGGACCCTGGGATCATGACCTGAGCTGAAGGCAGAGGCTTAACCCACTGAGCCACCCGGGCGCCCCAGAATCCAATCTCCTTGACAGGACAGTACTCACAACCCAACAACCTGAACCATTTGAAGGCTCCAACCCTATCTGTGTTTATTGGGATTCTTTTGGTGACAAGTGACCCCCTCCAGATACCTTACTTAGAAAAAAGGAGGTATTCAAGAGATATTGGGACATCTTATGGAAGTTGAGATCAGAAATCGATGTCGGGAAGTCATGAGAAGTCTGTCCTCTCCGTTCTCTTTCTCTCCTCATTACACATTCGCTTTGTTCTTCTTTCCTGTTAGAGACAGGAAAGTCTTCCTTTGCTTTGCAGTCCTGGGCTGGAACATGGCAGAAAACGCTTTAGTACAGCCGCCTGGTCCCAATAGTCCCAGAAAAGGAATCACATTGATCCAGCTTCCTTTAGCTCTGACCCCTGGATCGATCACTACGGTGTGGATAACACCCATGTGGGGGGAATAGAATTCCCTGAATTATTGGAAGTAATGGAACCATGAGGTGTCCGAGGGAAAAGGGACCCTGGAGAACAACTGGACGGATTTTCTGCTTCCATGGACGGCGCGTTTGAGCTTAAGAGAGAGCAAAGGACTTGCTCAGAGACATGCATGACCTGGTGAGGTCGAAGCCAGGCTCGTTCCATGCACAGAGGCGCAGCAACCCGAGTCCATGAAACAGGGGTCTCTGCGGTGCTCACGTGTCCCCCGTCCCAGGCAGCTAGGACCGCCTGGCTTGGGCACACCGTCCCACTCCCTCCCTAGTGCATTTAGAAGGGTAGGTGGGACTCAGCTGTGTCTCTCTCCGCAGATGCATTCCTTACGGCTGCTCAGCCAGAACCAGCCGTCTCAGATCTTTCTGAGCATGAGTGACAACTTCAGACCCGTGCAACCACTCAACAACCGCTGTATCCGCACCAACATCAACTTCAGTTTACAAGGGAAGGACTGTCCCAACAACCGAGCCCAGAAGCTTCAGTATAGAGGTGGGTGCACTGGCACAGAGGGCGACGGGCCCCAGCAGGGGCGGGGGGTGGGGGGCCGCCTCTTGTTATGATCGTGATCACAAATGACAGTGAGACCTCCACCCCCCCACACCCCAACCTTCCATTTGTATGGTGCTTTCCTGCTGGTGAAACCTCTGTATCATTGGAGATAAGCAGAGATAGAGACAGACAGGCAGAGATGGGGCTGCAGGAGGGGTGCCAAACCTTCAAATGCCTTCCCATCCACAGCATTAAAAAAAAAAAAAAAAAAAGGAAGGGAGGGAGGGAAGAAGGAAGGAAGCTTTATCGAAGCCCACATTAGGATTAGGACAGCTGCCTGGGATACAGATTCTTCACAAGGAAGAAAGTACTCCCATGAAAGAATATTTGGCGTAGGGTTATATGCATTTTTCTGCATAAATAGTTACAAATCATTACACTAAGGACATTGCAGAAAGTTGCAGACCTCTTCTTAAGCCTCTAGTATATTCAGCACCGTAGGACTCTAAACGGATGGGAGCCAGGGAGGTATTTTTCCTTTTTCTTCTTCTTTATGTTATTCTTTAAACTCCAGCTAGTTAACATACAGCATGATATCTGCTTTAGGTGTACAACATAGTGACACAGCACTGCCGCGCAGTACCTGGTGCTCAGCACGACGGGTGCACCCCTTCATCTCCACCGCCTGGTTCACCCACCCTCCCTTACATCCGTGTGTTCTCTGTAGTTAGTCTGTTTCTTGGTTTGCCTCACTCTCTCTTTTTTTTTTCCTTTACTCGTCTGTTTTGTCACTTAAATTCCACATATGAGTGAAATCGTGTGGTATTTGTCTTTCTGTGACTGACTTGTTTTGCTTAGCGTCAGACAGCATTTTTATTGCCATTTTACCCAAGGGCCCAGGGAGGCTGATTTTCCAATGTTATCTGTTAGAACAGGACAGCACGAAGCATTCAAGCTTTTAGCTATGGGCACAATGGACTCCCACTCCCTTTCTCCCAAAAGGGGAGCAAATACTTTGGATGCCGGGCCATTGGGATCCAATGAGGTAACACGTGTGAGCACATCTTCTTCCGGTGCTATGTCCCTAGAAGTGACAATTTTCCCTACTAAAGGAGACATTTAAGATGACTCCTGCCTCCTGTAACCCTCTTGTCCACACACAGCTCTCTCTCTTTTCCTACGCACGCTAAGTATCTCTTGATCATTCTGGTAAAATCTCAACATAGGAAGATGGAGGTAGAATGGAGTCATGGAGATGTCTTCAACAAGGAATCCACACATCTGAGCTCCTGGCCTGGTTCTATCATAACCAAGCCATGTAAACCCAGCCAAGTCATTTCCTCTCTGGACCTGGTTTCTTTCATGACAATCTCCATACCGTCTACTTCATGACTCGCAAGGAGCAAATGAGAGCCTGGCTGGGGAAGCCTTTTGTAACAATAATGTGCCACCCAAATATGGGGGCTATGGACATTACCAGGCAGCTGCCCCTTGGTCCCCCACTTTATCTCTCCTGCTTCCCCTGCATCTCCTTCTTTTTTTTCCTCTGTCAGACACATGCAAAGTGTCAAAACTATAATTGTCTGTTTCCTTCCTGCCAGAACTACCAGAAAAAGACATCATTCATTGAGCCTTCCCTTTTTTCAACATGTAGTTATGATGAGCCTAGCCAGGCACTTAGCTAAGTAATAGGAATATAGTGGGGATGAAGATAGATAGGGCCCCCTCCATGCAGAGCTCACAGTCTAGAGCAGGGGTCGTAGAATTTTTCTATAAGGGGCAATTGGTAAACACTTTGGGCTTTTGAGTCATATAGTCTCTGCTACACTTTTATGTTGTAGAGTGAAAGCAGCCATAGACAGTATGAAAATGATTGGGTGTGGCCAATCCCCAAAAGCAGATCACAGGCTGTATTTGGTCTGTGGGCTGTCATTTGTCCCCTCATCTAAAGCACTGCCATCCACTGGAACTTTCTGCAACTCTGGAAATGTTCTATATCTACATTGTTCAGTATATGGCCGCTACCAGCCACATGTGGCTATCAGACATTTGAAGAGTGGCTAGTAAGCAATGCAACTAAATTTTTAATTTTCATTTTAATTAATTTGAATTTATGGTAGCCACCTGTGACCAGTAACAACCCTATGGGATGGGTTGGGCCTAGAGGTTTATGAGGAAGCAGAGTGGGTGGTTGGGACACATACGCAGAATTTACAGAACTGTCCCGTCCCCTTTGGGACAGGCAGTGGTGTAGTACAGTGGCTGAAGAATATTGGGAAATTGACCAAACCTAGCTTTAAACCTTCACTCTGCCACTCGCCTGCTGCTTGCTGTGTTATCCTAGGCAAGTAAGCCCCCTATACTTTGTGCACATTAATTCAACTATGCCTTGTTTTTGTTGTTTGTGTGTGTGTTTTCCTTTCTCTCTCCTCTCAGTAAATGAATGGCTCCTCAAGTAGGGAACGAGACCAAGAAGAATCTCAAGAAGAAATGCTACAACTTTGAATTGATGTAACCTAGAATACCCCCCTCTTTCTTCTCTCTCCCTCTCTCCCTCAAGCCTCATTCACTCTTTGGATTGGCCCTTTCTTCATGAAAAGTATCTGCAAAACCATGGCAGAGGAACACGTCTCTTCCACACACTCAGACACACACACACACACATACACGGACACACATGCAAACATATCTACAAATAGAAACACTCACATGGCCTCCAGGATGGGAAGTCAAGTTTCAGAAAATACAGGCTCGTTCAAAAGAGGTCTTAGAAGAAAACAACCAGTTAACCTGATTACAATTTTGATACTGTTTTCCTGAACTAATAAATCTACCCAATGAGACTTTTCAGCCTTTGTACATACAAAATTCTTCCAAATGAGAGAGAGGAGAAAACATAGCTCCAACAGCATCAAGCGGACTTTGTTCTTGGCATCAAGTTATCTCGGGTGGTGTCCTAGGATCCTCTGGTGACAGGTGAACCAGGATAAAGTTGGCCAAGGACACTTATTCTTCTGTTTACTCCCCCAAAAAAATTAAAAAGAAAAGGACAGACCTTGAAGAGATACACATTGTATATATATCACTGCAGACTATAAAGAAATGGAATTATTTCCCCTCTTCGTCACATATCTGTAATAGGATTTGCCAAGATCAGAATCGATCCATTCACTGTTTCTTGTTTTCCAAAGGTCATACATTGTGTTTGGTTATTGTTAACAGCTCAATAAATGTGTTTAACGAGTTAATTTCATTTTTCCGCCTTTGGTCTGTTCTCCTTCCTTACAGGCGAAGCCCTGATTCCATTACAACTGCATTCTTTGATTTCTCTTGTTCCTTCATCTACATGTTCTGTTCATTTGCAGCCAGTTTTGACTGAGTTTGTGGCAATCAGGAATGCATTTGCTAAGCAAGTATAACTTTTAATTCCACTCCATGGCTCGATCATTCATACAAGGTGAGCTTCTGCCTGAGACAGCGGGCGACAGATTTCTTGCGTTTCAAAACTGCCATCCCCCTCCCACCCCTGTGATGCTCCCTTGAAGGAATGCACTTTGCCTTGTAAATTCCTGGGAAGGGGGTGTCTTTTCTCTCCAGGTGCAGCCGGATATCACAAAATACAAACGAATGCCTTTCTTTCCTTGTTTATAATGGTCACTCACTGTGTTTGGGTACTGTCAAGAAATCAATAAATGTGTTTAACAAGTTAGCCCATACCTGTGTCGGAGTTTTTTGAGGAGGAGGAGGCTCCCTGCCGAAGCCTCTGAGTCCTGCTGCGTCCACGAGCCACGGCGATGTGGCCACTAGGGCTGCGGAGCCACGGGAACTACCTGGCTGGCCGTTCCCAGAACCAGGTAATTAATACCCTGGTGAGAAAACACAGAGGCTCAGCTGCTGGAAGGGAAGATTTTGATGTTCGTTCGGTGGCCAAATTAAAAATAAACTTCCATTTCTCCTTTCTGTCATGGTCCCCAGAAAGAGGGAAGCGTGCAGGCAGGCAGGGTCCGCGTGAACGGGAAACTTCAGACAAGTGACACGTTAGTCATATTGATGATGGGAAAAAAAAAAAATCAAATAGCCAAATGCTTCGTATTTTGAAATAATACACTTAATTGAAGTGTTTTCACTTTTTGCACCAACATGAGTCAGAGGATGGCCTTCGCTGTGATGCTCTAGGAGCCAATTTCTGAGCAACTGTATTTTTGCCGAACACCAGATCTGTCTGCAAAAGTTCAGGGTGGACACAGGAGGCAGTCTTCCTCTGTGTGGCTTGCTGCTTTCTCTCCGAGACAGAATCTTCCTGAGCCTGCAAGTCAGGCATCAGTGTAGTACAGTAACTGAAGAATATTGGGACATTTAAACCTTCACTCTGCCACTTGCCTGCTGCTTGCTGTGTCATCCAGGCAAGTCGCTTTACTTCCTGATCTGGGCACAGGGAGGCTAATCACTGTCCCCATGAGTTGTGAGGCTTAAATGCAACACAGCTACTTAGAGCAGTCAGCCCAACGCCAGTGACTGTTCTGTATGTGGTGCCTATAGGCCGCGTGTGTGGCTTTTGGGTTTTTGTGGACCATATCCTACCCCCCTCTCCAGGAAGGGTGTGGCATCGGTCATAACAAAGCCATCAATTAATATCAAAGGAGAGTAACAGATACCCAGTAGTCCGGGCATAGGTAAATGCCTGCGCATGTCAGGGCACAGGGAAAGGAACCCCAGTGGGGAAAGCAGGCAGTGGCCGGGTGTCTAGGCTCTGTTCTGTTACTAGCATCCTCTGTGAGGCAAAATAATTCCCCCTGGAGGGGTGGGGGGACCGTGCCCTTATTTAGGAATAACTTGGCCACGACCACCTCCCATGGCCTCTCTACAGTCATTCCCTAACTCTCTCTCTCATTCAGGTCTCAGTCCAGGGAGAACAGAAGAAAACCCAGGCTGATACCCCTGGGAGTCCCTGGGCGTGGCCAGAATTTCACTCTGGCCAAACAGAACTGGAAATGGAGTGAGCTAGCCAGTCTCTCACCTCCTGGGCCAATCCTGAACGTGTCTTCTCCCCATCCCCTGCGTGGCCCAAACTATAAAATGGAAATCGGGGCACTTTGCCCTCAAACCATGTGGAAGTGATAAAGATTTACCAGATTTATACCACTCTAAAAGAACAAAACATAGAAATTTTACATGTATCAAAAAGTCCCTGAGAGTTGACCCAGTAAAGCCATTAAGGAAGGAAAATCCATTTCTCCATGTGACATTCAGAAAGGGGATGAACACAGTGCCGGGTTGGCCTGCAAAGTAGCAGGCTGACATGGGCATCCTGTCCGCCTACAACGAGCAGGGATATGCATGCCGTGCCTCAGTTCCCTCCTCAGCAAAACGGGAGGAAAAGTAAATATACACAGAAGAGAACGCCGGGCAAATTGCACAAGAAAAAGGGAAGACATGGTGTGGCGATCCCCCATGCCCCTCATGGGGACACACAGCGTGGTTTCCAACACCATTTAGAGCCAGTTCTCACGTTCCTTGGTAGCTGTTTGGTTTCCATGGTGACGCCAGGATGACCACCACTCGCCACACTAGATGGGCCAGAAAGTGAGTGATGTGGAGTTTGGGCAGGAGGGCAGGCCTCCATCCAGCTGGTACCCGCCCAGCTTCGGCTGAAGGGCCCAGCTGACAATCATTGAACAGCATGGGCTTACGCCCCCAGCGTGAGCCCCTACCCTGCTGGATGCCCCCCTACCCCAGAGCACTCCTAGACCCTGAGAGTAACAGTTTTCCTTTTCCAGAAAGCCTGAAAATGGGACCCACAGGGGCAGAGGCTCACATGGACATCACTCACCAGCTGGCACGAGGGGACCTACAGAAACACACCGATAATGGGTTGCACGGGTTCTGTGGGCCAAGCCCCAGGTTCAGCAACTTGCAAATATCATCTCACTTCATACACAGAGACCCATGAGTTAATCACCATGGCTGCCTCATGTTATAAAAGCAGGAACCGTCCTTCTGAAGACTGGGGGACGTGCTCAGGGTCGCACAGCTCCTAACGGCAAAGCCAGACCCAGCTCTCTTACACCAGTGGCTCTGAAGAGTGTGGCTCTGGCAGCATCACTGGGAAACTGGAGAGAAACGCACATTCTTAGACGGCACTCCTGGGTGGGGCCCGGCCATGTGTGTTTTTACAGGAGTCCTCCTGGTGATTCTGGTGCTGGCTCAAGTGTGCTCATTCCTACTCCCCTCTACTCTAGAGGCTCCCAAACTTGCTACACATTAGACTCCCCTGGGATGTTTTAAAAACCCCAGAGCCCAGGCTGTGTTGCGTACCACTGAAATCAGAAGGTCAGGGTGATGGCCAACTGTCTGTGTTTTGAAAAGATCCTTGGAGGATTCCAATGTGCAGCGACATTGGGAACCACATCCCTGTCTGAAGGGCCTGCTCGGGGAAGGGCTCACCTTGTCAGGTGGGTCCACGGGAGCCCAGAGGTCAGCCTTACCTAATGGACTTCCGTTTTCAAAATCACGTCCCAATCTCTATGCATAGTCACTGTTTGGGATGGTCTGAGAATGTCTCCTGGTCCCCTCCTTCTGCCCCAGGTCTTAGTTAACAGGTCTGATGTTTGGATAACAAATCTCCCTGTTTTTAATAAAAGAGGTATCAGCACTTAAAATAAGGGCTTTATGGACATTGGGGAGGGTATGTGCCATGGTGAGTGCTGTGAAGTGTGTAAACCTGGCGATTCAAAGACCTGTACCCCTGGGGCTGTTAATAAACATCATATGTTTATTAAAAAATTAAAATAAAATAAAATAAGGGCTTGACACCAACACTCCAGAACCCACCCCAGGTCACTAGTCCTGATGACTCAGATTGTAGGTAATATTTTCAAGACTTCAGACCACAGTGAACAAATGAAAACAAGTGGTGAGTCAGGAGACCAGATGTTCAGCGAGATAAGCTGGATGCATAATGAAGTCATAGGCAAATTTCAGTGCTGTTGGTTCTAACGTCATGGTGTCTTTCCCACGCAGCGCTCCCTCCCTGCAACCCGGCAGGCCCGTGACAAGCCCCGGTCCTGGCCATAATCATCTCAACCCACACTTACATTCACATCCACCCAGTAGGTCCTCCTGCCTCCAGTCTACAGACAAGCGAACCACCCCAGGCCAAGATTCACCAAAGCAAATATCCAGACTGCTTTCAGATCAGGGGCATATGAGTCCATCCTGGATAAAGATTGTGGGAAGTTTAGGATAAATGGGGTGTGGTGGGGGAGCAGATAATCTAAGACACTTTCCAGGAGACATACCAAAACACAAAGCTAAGTAGATAATCCAATGGGGTAGCACTCTAAAACCAATTTGACAAAGAAACAGAGTCCAGGAGCGATGCAAAAGGACAGGACCTGTATGCCATACCCGGACCCCAGGCTAGAAAGCAGAAGCCAGGAAGTAGACTCGGCTGCCCCTCAGAAAGAATCTGCCATGGGTCAGGGTGGGAAGGAAGACATTGAGCGTCATGTCACATTCCCAGCCTGCTTTAGGATCGGTGAACCAAAAGTTCCAACTGGAGCCTATCTCCAAGATGCAACCTTCCAACAGTCCCCACTTGTTTTCAGGTTAAAGGTTCAAATTCCTTAGCAAAGCAGGCAAAGCCTTCCCTTAATGGATTCTCAATAGATGCCTGCAAATTCCTTCCTCAGCCTCCAGCCTCCATCTGGGTCATCCCTTGGCTTGGAACGCTCTTTCTGGTTCTTCCTCACCTGCCGAAATGCACACCTTTCAAGAAACCCAGCTCAAATGCCACCCCACCCCGGCATCCCCCGTCTCCCCAAGGAAAACTATTTTTTCCTTGCCCTGAGCTCACATCGCTTACTGATTTTTTAAAAATATTTAATTAATTTATTTATGTGAAAGAGAGAGCACACACATGCCCGAGCAGGGGGAGGGGAGAGGAAGAGGGAAAGAATCTCAAACAGATGCCTCGCCAAGCATGAACCCTGAAGCAGGGCTCTATCTCACGACCCTGAGATCATGACCTGAGCCCAAACCAACAGTCGGCTGCTTAACTGAGCCAGCCAGGCACCCCCACACAACCTACTGATTTTATCTCTGATTAACCTTTACTACATTCTACTATATAGTAGAAATATAGATTTCTATATAGTAGGAATATAGATGCAGAAATCGTGTGTGTTACAGAGATAGAACTCCATGTGGTTCCCTCTTTTCCTGTCTGCCTACGACAGGCAAGACACTCTCTAACATTACCCCTTCATGCATCTTTCCATCTCTCCCTCCTATGCACAGAAAGAAAAAAAATTTTAAATCCTATCATAATTCTTTGTAAATAGAAAGTCCTCGAACAAGGTGGCTGGTTGATACGTAGAATTTTCCTATGAGAGGCGGGATAATATGTGATTCTTTTCAATTCAGGGTGGCTGAGTTCCTCCTCTGTGCCAGGAACACACTAGGCGTGGTCCCAGGTTTTTTCACGTATATTTTCCATATATTCTTTTTCTTTTATTTGGTGCCATAGAGGTTCTGCCATATAGTTCATGGCTTTGTTCCGTAGATAAACGAGTTAATCAGAGACGTAAATTTAGCCTAGATCACACTGTTGTCGAGCAACGTTAGCAAAGACGGATCCCAGACAAGCATCAAGTGAACCTGCTCTCGGTTGGTCTAGAATGGAAGGGCTCTTCCCATGGAGAC